GTAGGCAAGACCATATAGTGCATGTGATCTAATAAAACCTATAGGGACTCTCAGTGGGCTGTCAGAACATTTAATTACCTTTGATTTGTTTACCGAGAAAAAGTAGAATCTGTGTTTAACTCTGACTTTATGACAAACAATACTTTCAGGAAGTCTTTTTGCCTTTGTACTGTCTGTTGGAGAGACTCATTTGAATTTTTATTGCAGGCTCATGACCCGCCAGATTCAGGCTGCACACTGCCTCACTTAAAAGCTTTGCTTTGGGCGGGCACTGGATACTGTTTAGCCTTTTGTTACACTCACTACTGCCAGTGCCTGCTGCTTTTTCTCTGCATTGATAGTTAGACTGGAATATGTTGCTCATTAGGTCTATGAGTTTACAGAAATCTATTATTTTGTGAAGCAAATATCCATATTGATGCTGTGCGTCGTTTTGAGCTAACATTTGCTTGTGCATTACTGGATGATTCTGTCAATGACAGCAGATCCAATAATTGGTGCGCATTATGTGGTGACCGGTTTTCTTTCGGATAAGGGTGATTACTATAGTTGATGAGGTGATGGCTTGGGGAGAAGGAGGCGGTGTTTTAGATCCAGGCCCGCAGCATTATTCATGTGGACGTGCAGCTATTCCTCCTGCCCACTGCACCACTAATCTAAATCTACAAGAAGGCGTGAGCTACTGTACTCGTGCATGCTTTGGGGGAACTAATCATCACGGAGGACCACCGACCCCGCCCTTTCCCAAACACCCCTTCACCCACTTCACCTGTGGAGCCTGGCAGTTATTGACCAAGTGAGGGCGACTTATAGAGAAAAAGCTGCCATGAAACTGGGTCGCAGCAGCCAATCAATGCCATAGATTTCTTGGCCTGGCATTATCTCAACTGAAAGATGGAGGAGGGGGGGGGGGGTGAAAAAGAAACAGACACAAATCAGTCGGTATGGAGGCACCTCGTCTATACCTCTCCTCCCACTCCCTCCATCCACCCACTCTCTCCACCCGGCCTTCATCAACCCCTTCCTCTTCTCTCCCTCCTGCTATTCATTTGCTTTCCGTCTTTTCTGTTGTTTGTTTGCCCCCGGGCTGAAAAATCTGTGTGTATATGTGCTCCATTATAGATGTGTGTGTGTGTGTGTGTGTGTGTGTGTGTGTGTGTGTGTGTGTGTGTGTGTGTGTGTGTGTGTGTGTGTGTGTGTGTGTGTGTGTGTGGAAGCGCTCTTGAAATGACGCATTGATTCACAGTGTTCTATATTTTCTCATCTGGCTCACTATTACAGTGCGAGTCAATCGACGCCGTATTTCTCTCTCCCTCTCCTGTTCCCTCTCCTTTCTCCCCATTTCTCTCCCCTCTCTCTCCCTTTCTTTCAGTGAGTATCAGAGTATCATGTTGTTGAATGGATGTGTTTACGAGGAGTGTTGTATCGCTGTTACAAGAGAGGGGTTTGGAGTGTGGGTGCATGTGTTGTGAGTATCAGTGGTGTGTTTTGTACCTGTGGATGCTTGTGTGTACTTCTATGCATTATTTTAAGTTTGAACACGTTGCTATAAACCAGGAGGGCATGCTCTTTTTTTGCACCGTGTGGGGGCATATGCTGAGGCACTGTAAATCTCCCAGTGTGTTTGAGTGGATGCCAGATCTGTTTTCCTTTTCTTTTTTCTTTTCATGCGTGTGAGAGTATTTATGTGTGAGGGGGGGTTTGGCGGTGGGTATTTGTATCATGTGGTTTCTACACACATTGCACTAGCTGGAGCTCTGCAACTCCACCCTGTGCCCCACACATACGCACACAATCACACACACACACTCTCCCACTCGAGAGGACTTTTGCCAGAATCAATAACGGCTTTTTGAATGCCTCTTGCTCTAGTACGAGTCTGAAACTGGAGCGCGGGATCACGAATATGTCAGCCAGAGCCGGGCGTTTGGGACGCGCCCCATTTTAGGCCTGACCCAAGCCACTCTCTCCAACAAAAAAACTCTTCTCCATTTATTTGCTCAATAGCTGGGTAGTTCAACTACAACTAAACTTTAAACAGGTCAGAACTGTCTCTATAGTGGCTTGTTTTTCACAATTGTGTGTATTTCAAGGAATAGATAAATGATTTATATTGTATGGCGTCATAGGTTTAAAATAACTCTAAGATACTGCATTTGGTTGACACTGTAGCTCCATGTTTTTCATGCTGGAGTTATAAAAAGGTTTTACTTGATATTTTAAATATTACAGTGACATCAAAGTAAACCCGAGGTAGAATTCATTTAATTTTTTATCATTTCCATGAAGGCTCACAATTTCTAAAAAAATATGTGAAGCTTTAATATGCTGGAGAAATAAACACAAATATAATAAAAAAAATCTGATATGCAGATATTCACCATTAAAAGACTCTGATTGGGATCGGGGCAAAAGTGTTGTGTTTGGGACATCCATACCTTTTTTGCTGAACTATTTTTTTACTTTTGGATAGTATATGATATATATATATATATGCACTGGCTTTGTGGCTCCCTGCTCCCCTGGGCTTCTTGACTTGTGCTCGGGTGGTCTTTTACAACAATCAATCCATGGTTCTAGGAAATTAGCTGTGTTTTTTTATAATTTAATCGTACCTCCCCAATGTCCTCAAACAATGCAATGTTTTCTGTGTCAGTGGAGTTGATTTAATTACGTTAGCGGAAACTTCTTCTCCATCAGCATAATCCTGTGTACCTGTAGTTTGCTCTATAATGGAATGAGGGCTGTGAAAACAATTATTCAGCTTTCACAAATAGTTCAATGTCAGTGTCAGTTTAACGTCAATATTTTTTGCTTGTCGCTTGTTTACCCAAAGTCTCTCCAGACGCTGCACCTGCTCACACACACACACACACACACACACACACACACACACACACACACACACACACACACATAACTAAACACGCACACACACCAGCTCTTAGTACTTTGTCTGAGCTACACCAACAGCCTACAGCCATGCTTACAGGGCATTTCCTCTAGGAAGCCAAATCCCCTCTTCTCTCGGCGGCTCACCTGGCAGCGAAAGAAGAAAAAGGGCAGAAAACTTTTTAAATGTAAGGGTTGGGGAGCAACTTCAACGATAAAAAGCACGTCAGGACTAGAACTGAAGGGGCACGTCAGGACTAGAAGTGAAGGGGAAAGAGGCTTTCAGGGAAAAAGGGGATTTCATTTGGGTTTGGTTGTGTTGGCCTGTGAGTGGGGGGTTGATAGAGGATGGAAGGAGGGAGAGAAGGTAGTGTGTTTCAGTATAAAACGTTCCATTGCCTTTCCCAGGGCCAAGTCCTCGCTCTGTTTCTAATGAACTCATCTATTCTGTTTTGCTGGCTTTACTTCCACCAGCAACAAAAGACAGTCTCCTGGTCTGCCTCTGAACACTCTGCTTCAGGGTTTGTTGAGCATCTAGGTCTGTCCTGTGGCATTACCTTTGTTTACTTAACGCTCAGCATCGATCAAATGCAAACCTGAGACTGTCCTTCCCTGGCAAAGGCAAAGTCAATTAGCATTTCCTTCTAAAGCAATGTTGATCGCAAGTGACTGATTGAACGTTGTTGATGCATTTCTATGTAGTGTGTGAAGCAAAAGCAGTCTCTTTGCCTTAAAGATGTAAAGACTGAATGCTTAAAAGAAGATGTTTTTTCTGCCCATATCTCTATGTCTGTGTCAAACAATAGCAACAAAGGCAAAAACATCAATCGGCAGCACATTCTGAGTGAACACAAAATCGCATTCTGGTTTTGGCCAAATATTTAATCTCTCCTCCTCTCACTCCGCGTGCCTCTGTCTCTCCCTCCCTCTTTCTTTCTGAATAATATGCCACTGGGAAGTGAACGAAAAAACTGAGAGCACGGATCCCCACTCCTCCGCTCTTCTCGGCTGCACGTCTGTGATGTCATAATCACTCACATCAAAGGCTGTGCGCTCAACACGGCGACTGTCAGCTTCCCTGGAGGCGTCATTAAAAACGAACAGAGCAAACCGAGCCAGGCCTGACAGAGACGCATCAAAACTTCCTAAGACGCACACATACGCACACATGCGCAGGTGGGCGTGCACGCCGAGGAGCGTGCACACACACAGGAATGTGGATGCAAATGCATTCAAGTGCATGCATATACTAAATGAAATGTATTAGACACACGCATGGACACGCTCACAAATATGTAATAATTAGATCATGTTTGTATGAAAGAAAATGCTCGCAATGCATATAATCCCTCATCCACACATACAGAGACTCACACACACACATAAACAATTAGATATCTATTATTTTACAACAATGGCAAACATCCCTCATACTAGCACACAGTGATATGATTTGGGCAGCAAAACGACACATGCGTTGGTTCCCGCTGCATTGTACATGTGAGTGGTAACATCCACAGCATGTGAACATCTGTTGTGAAGATATGCTGTCGTGATGTAGGCTACATCCATGATTCACACTCATGTTGCCGAGCGTGCACATAAATGCACAAAATAGCCTACATCCACCCGCTCAACCGCTTTTCATCCATCTCCATCCATCTCCCACACACGCGGATGCATGCGCACGCACACACGGAGAGGCACACACTCATTTATACAAACTGGAGGAAGGACTATAAATAGTATGCCTATGATGCGATGCTGTGTGTGGTTTCTCCCTATGGGTTTGTGTGTGTGACTGTCAAAGTGAAGAGAGCGGGAGGCAGGGAAAGGAAGGGGGGTGGGGGGTAGCGGCTGAGGGAGAGGACAGATATTTAAGAGAAAGGAGGGCTGTGCTCATGTCTGGTGCACAGCCAGTGATAAACAGAACATGACAAGCATGGCGAAGACAGTCAGTCCCCTTTGATTCCAAATGAGTATACGGCATTATATGTTAAAAATGAGCATCTGTGTTTGGGTGTGCGGGAGGGAATTTAAGATGTGTTTAGTTTAACAAAAAATGTTGCTTCTGGGTCGACATGGCGTTCTTTGTGTGTGTGACTTACCCCAGGCAGGGTCTTCTGCTCGTGCAATGCATTCTGGGCTTTCAGGGCCGACTCTCTGGCACAGTAGGTGAGGAAGGCACAGCCTGAAATACAGCAAGAGAGAGATGATTATGTTATGTGAAGTGGGGACAGAGAAGGAGAGGTAGACAGGGGAGGGGGCTGCACCAATCATCAGAGAATAGCCAAAAACAACACACACACACACACACACACACACACACACACACACACACACACACACACACACACACACACAGTCACACACACACGCCTGCAGCCATTGCACTGAAACTCTGTCTACATGGCCGCACTGGGAATTCGCTTGAGTTTGTGTGTGTCCAGAACCATCCTCTGTACAGAAACACAATCCATGCCCATTCAACAAAAAAACTAAAAAGACATTAAAGTGAGACAAAAAAAATGTGCGTCTTCGGAGATGGGACGATTCTGTTGCATGAGCGCCATTCTGCCCACAAAACACATCAAATCAAAGTGAACTTCTTCCCTGGCAGTCTGAAATAGCAGTTATCCATTTGTCCATCGCACTCTTCTGGCTGCTGTGACAGGGATAGACATTTCCCTGACAGCTTCTCTCTCTCACCCCCCTCTACCCTTCATTTCTCCATCTCTCTGCTCCATATTTTCCAAAACTACCCACAATCCTCGGTTCTGTTAGCACCTGGGCTGACATGTGGGGGTGGAAGGAAGATGGAGACGCAGGAGGCAAGGATGAAGAAGAAGAAACCGTGGGGAACGTGTAAGCTGTTCCCTCGCCACCCCCTGTTGACAGCGAGGCGCGCGCCACTGTCGGAGAGCTGACAAACTGTCAATCTGCAGATCAAGGCTAATGATTAATGTGTTTGACAGTTTAATAAAACACTTACGAAGACAATTGCACAATAGGCTGCAGTGACACAATTCAATTTGAGGCAAATATTCGCTGTGCATGCAGCTGTTCAAAAAAATCATTTAAATTGAATTAGCCTAAGTTAAATTTAGTGAAAGAAAAAAAATACTCCACTGTGATTTTATATGCAGACATACGGAGCATTTGAAGGGTGCTTTAAGTGAACAACGAGGTCGACATAAATATTACAGCTGAACATAAAACATATTGACGCAATGGCTTTTGGGTCAACTTTTTTTCATTTTCCATTTGGTGGATCACAGAAGTCATCATGCAGACGTTGACAAACTGTTCCCTGCTGCCATACAACAAACGAATCACAGTTTGTCTGAGAACATCAAGGGCTGAGCAGATGATTATCACAGAAACCCTCCCCCCCCCAAAGAAACACAAACGCAGTGCAGTTTAAAGAAAGCCCCTTCCTCTTATAGCTCGTTGTGTGTCGCTTTGTTCTTTTTGCATACTGGGGGCTATTTATTGTTGAGGGCAGCACCACACAGTGTATGTAGACGCAGCATGGCTCCCATCCTCTCGGCTACGCGTCTTTAACCCCGGGTCGTCCTGATGCCGGGACACTGGGGAGCTCCGCCTGTTGGTGTTTTTAATTAACGGGCCTCTCTCTCATTAGGCGGAGTGGGAGCTGGCCGCTGACAGCTTGGCTTCCTCCTCGTCCTCTCCGGGCCTGTCGTGTTAACGCTACATGTCGGCGCGGTCCCACTGGAAACAAGCGCATGCCTCTGATTCACACGCCTCACAATCTCGCATGTTTGGAGCGCGGGCACCCATAGTATCCAGTATTCAGTATTATAGGAAGTATTCAGATCTGGCAATACAATGTCACTATGTAAAACCATTTCTGTCAATGTTATAATATATTTGATTACTCCTAATGCACTACCAGCATTTAATGTTAAAGTAGTTTATATTGAGATTATTCTAACTCTTTATTTCCTGTGGGAAAGGTCAATCCAGGGATTCTGACGTAGCACAATATTGATGGGACAATTATATTATAATCTATTATCGCCATGTTGAAATCTTTACCGATACATATATTGGCAATACAAAGCCTAATTGTTTGAACTGACTTGAAAAGCACAGCATCTACATCCCAATACAGTAGGTGGCATTGTGCCTTTAAAGTTGGTTTGCGATCCGCCTATCAAGAGACGAGGAAAAACTACAGGTTATGAACTGCCTTTGAAATGCAACAAATAAAAACGATTGGTTGGTCTTTTTGGCATAGGCCCCGAGAAGCAAGTCACAGTACAAATGATTTGTTACACATCTCTCTATTTTCTCCTGGATTACGTTTTCTACTAACTTTACACATATTTATTTTACCCAGTTTCATTTTTGTTTTAAATAAACCATCTTACTATGGATCCCATGGCAATATATAGCAATGCATCACAATCCATACTCCGAGAAACTATAGTTTGCAAATACGTCAAAGTATAGTTGAAATAAAAGGTAGTACAACTAAAAACAAAAAGTAAAAAGTAAAGTATCTCAAAGTTCTGCTTGAGTGTTGTACTTCTATTTATTTATCCTCCACCTCTTCGTGTATACACACACGTGTATATGGGGCAATCACACACACTCACATACACACATGAAAAGTGACAGTCAACAAACGGGTGCGGAAATTTATCATCATTGTCACAAGTCAGATGCTGGCAGCGGCTCTGGTATCTGACTAAGACCCATATTGGCCCAGGAGAGAGAGATAAGCTGTTTGTTTCTGCTGTCAATGCTGCCAATTTAGTTTCCCATCACTTCAAATTCAAATCAACAGCAGCGCAGAGGGGATCTAAGAGAATGTGTGTGTGAGACGGGAGGAGAGAAGAGAGATGGGGGAAGAGAGAAAGAAGGGCAAGGGAGCAAAAAGAAAGACGGGGGAGGAAAACAGCGGAGAGGAAAAATAAGAAGAGCGAGGGATGCTCGGTAAGAGAGGCAGGAGGGAGGGAGAGGAGATAAGATCACCTAGCCTCTGTGAACACCATCCCCCTGTGTCCTACACTCGCTTCTTATCTCAACCGCAGCAGACACCCTAAAGGGACACACACCCACAGAGAGAGAGAAACAGGAAGAGAGTGAGAGACAGAGAGAGAGAGAGAGAGGAATATGGAGAAGAAAAGGAGAAGAGATGAAAGAAAGCAGCAAGGGAATGGTGACTATGAATACTTACTGGTGGGGAAAGAAGAAAAGACACCAGCTTCAGTGGTGAAATCTCCACCAACTGTCACCAGGCCTCATTTAAACGACAGCTGTGTTGGACCACATGGAGCTTTGACCTTGGTAACTATGGAAACATGATGAGCTGTCTTTGATGAGTTTTACAACAATTTGACTTTTGGGAAAGTACATTTTCATATCTACAGAAAAGATATTTGGTTTTTAAGTTAACTTTTTGAGAGCAATATATTTAAAATCCAACATTGTGATTTCACTGAAAATAAAAATAAATGCCAGGTTTTTACTTGCATGAATAACTGCCATATTGCAATGAAGAAATATGTCAGATATTTTAGCATAGGTTGAAAAGAATAACGTTTGGATAAAATGACGCAACCAGGTTTTTTCCGCTAATTAAAAAAAAACGTATTGGTCACTTGGGGGCGGCAAAGCAAGCTGTAAACACAACACAGACATATTATCCCATTGGAGGTATAAGCAAACTATACATCCAGCAGATACAGAGCAACTTTAGTAATCAATTAAGTTATGTTTTAATCTCTGCCAACTACTGAGGGACATGTTTAGGTTATTAGCATTTAAATGCTCAAGCTACTCGCTAACTTTGGCTGCTAGCTGTTTGGTGATGGTAGTAATGAAAAAACTATAGATATGGGGGTTCAGTCTTTGTGATAAATTATTCCTTGTGCATATGAAGTAATGTGATCTATTGTTGATATGGTAATATTGCTCATAGGCACATTAATATTTATATTGGTGGCATTGGTATTTAGTTCCATCGTTTGTATTTTATATGTAATTACAAAATGTAAGGTTAATAAAAACCACCAATTCCCCCAAACAGCAGAGACCATGACCTCTCTGACCTCAGTGGTGAGTCTAGCCCCAGATGGCGGATGCTCCCATCTTACAATTCTCCTTTGAAACTAATTAAGATTGCATTAAAAGTAAAACTCCTAATGTATTCCTGAATTAGCGCTTTTTAGCGTTACTGGACACATGAATTACTTCTTACCAGCATGCAGTGCCTGAACCACCCAAGACTTGAGAGCTCGGGGACGATGTTATTGCACATTATTCTCTAATTATCTCGTGCCTATTAATTCAGGGATTTTTAGAGGCTGACATAAAAAACTTCTCTCCTCTCACTCCATCCTTTTATCCCTGGCCACAAACTCCCAGTGAGCATTTAAATATTTCAGAACATCTTGGTGAGAGCCTAGAAAGAGTCAATAGCATTTAAAAGCTTTATCCACGGCACGGCTGAAAATCCACGCTGCATAGCCCTGGAAATCCGCCTCGAAAAACTTTGGCATGAAACTTTGTTTGAAGCCGTCCAATTTTAGTCAGTCAATAGAAATCTCCACATCTCCCCCTACCTCAGTTCTGTTAGCACTTATCTCCGCCTGAAAGGTTTGACCAAGGACAGCCTTTGCTCAATAAACAGAAGAATGTTTTTTTTTCTCCTTTTTAAAAGATTGACCTTAAGACAAGAGCGTTCTGACTGGATGAGTGCTAAGGCTTAGATAACACTCTTCAATTCACTCTTTAAAAGGGTCAGAGTAAAGAGGAAAATTCTTGACTCATTGTGCTCAGAGAAATAGCATAGAAAGCCTTAGTCTTTGAGTCATATGGCGAAAACGAGTACCACTGAGTGCAAACGATGAAAACTAATAAGTGTCGTATTATGAGAGCTGCTGAATCAAGAATGATACCATTGTCCTTGTACAGTTGTATCAGAAACACACAATTTGACCTCTTTGATTTTTACAATCAAACCCTGTAAAATGGAAAAAAGTTTAAATTCTACTTTGGGAATAAAAGGCATTGCAACTATGATTTCTGAGTTTGTATAACTCCTACAGATCATGAACCATAGCTGCATCTCACTTCGGTTAAATGGATTGCTTGCGTCCCTCACTTGCGTCGTTTCCCTGCGACTAGTCCCTCCCACCAGGGAAGCATGGAGAGACGCAA